CAGGTCAGGAAGACATGGGATCAATCTTTGACATATGATCTTAGTGATGACCTTATATACAACATTAGTATAAGAAATTTGTCTAAAATCAGCAAGTGTAGGTGAATGGTTGGTCTTGGGAATCAAGGCAATAACTGTGTGGTTAAAATGCTTTAATAACCTACCCGAGCCAAAGAACCCTTTAACGGCCTTAATGAAATAATGACCCACAACATCCTAATTCTTTTTTAAAAAAGCCGAGGTATAGCCATCAGGGCCATGTGCTTTATTATCCCCAATGTCAAAAAGAGCCTCTTAATAGGAGCAATAAGATCATTAACAAAATTAGTTGGTAGCCACCTACCCGAGGCAACAATGCTAGGATCCAAAAAAGATGTAGGATAGTAAGTACCAAACAAAGAGGTGTAAAATTTGACAAATTCCGTAGCTACTTGATCAATAGAAGTGGTAGAGTCTCCATTAGGGAGTTTTAATGTCGTAATGGAGTTTCAAGCTATGTTCTTATTAACAATAGAATGAAAGTATTTTGTACACTTATCACTTTGAACAAGATGAGTATCTTTGGCCTTTTGCCTAAAAAAAACTTCCTCGGCCACTTTGAGGTTTAAGAGTTTCTTCTTAAACAAAGAAAGGTCATTCTTAAGAGCTTCATCCAAAGGAAAGAGTATAGAAAGACCAAGGAGTCGTTTATACTCCTTAGAATCCTTAACCCTCTCGGAAATGTGCCCAAAGTTAAGGTTATTTAAGTTCTTTGAGAGGCCTCTTAAGTGCTTTCAACTTTTTGGCAAGAATGAATTGGGAATTTCCATCAACCTCTCCACACCAATGATTAGTGAGAATGGTATTAAAATTCTCATGTTTAAGCCACATATTGTAAAATTTAAAAGGCCTAGAGCCAACAATATTGTTTTGACCAAAAGTAACTAAAGAAGCTACATGATCAAAGTCAACTTCCATATCATGAAAATGAGTTTGGACTCAATACCCAAAGTGGACCACAAGGAATTAATGAGAACTCTATCAAGTTTAGCCCAAAGGGGTCCTCTATTCCAATTAAGGAACTCATCCGTGGAAGGACTATCAACAACATTAGCAAGCAATTTAAAATCATTAAGGTGTTGGGTAAGATAAGCCGATGGAGGGGTGGGCCCAACATTCTCATTTGGGCTACCGACACAATTAAAGTCTCCCATTTGGCCCAACCCTGTCGTGTCTTGCGCTAATTGTTGCTATTGTATTTTCTCATTTGTTTTTTATTGTTTGCTCTTTTTTTGTTTTTTTGTGGTTTATTGTCTGTTCTCCTTTATTTTTTATGCTCATTTTGTAAGTCATGTATGTCCATCTGATACTGATTTTATGCTCATTTTAAAATATCCTATTAATGCATATTTCAAAAGTATCATATTAAATTCGCATGAGAGTTATGTTATATACATGGTAGCATTTATAGATCATGATATTCACTTGCATGCTTATGATACTCAATGAAGGAGGTTTGATGTACAATAAAAATGTCTTGATCCTCAACTAACAAAGCTTATGATTTTCATATCATTGCTCATTTGACAGGTAATGTATGCTCATTTGATATTGTAGTTATGCTCATTTAAAAAAGTTATATCAATACATATTTCAAAAGTATCGTATTACACTATATTCACAGAGGAGTTAATCATAGACACGAGAGTACAAATCATGATACTCAATTGCATGCTTCTAACACTCAATAGTGGAGGTTTGATGCTCATTGAAAAGTGTCTCGATGCTCAACTAACAAAACTTACAATTTTCATATCAATGCTCATTTTGTAAGTTGTGTATGCTCATTTGGTACTGATATTATACTCATTTTAAAATGTTATATAATTCATGTTTCAAAAGTATTACATTACATTATATTTGCATATTGAAATTCATAGGAGTTGATCATAGATTTAATTTAATAAGTTTTGATAAAAGAAAAAGGGAAAAGTACGAAAAAGGTACTTGTGGTTGTGCCTGTTTTCAGATAGGGTCATGTGTTTCATTCTTTATCAAAGTGGTTCATGTGTTTGAATTCCGTTATCACAAGAGGGGCACGCCGTTAAAAACGTCTGAAAAAAACCGTTAAAAGAAACTCTGATTTTCAAAAGTGCCCGGAAAATTAAAAGAAAAATATCGAAAGGTGCGCCTCGTCAAGATGACCTCCAAACCACCTTCTCCTTCGGATTTTTTAGATCTGTTTGAATTATTTTTTAAAAATGATTTTGCTAATATCACTTTTCCAGTGGACTTTCCGGTGACAAGGGTGGCTGAAAATAAAAAAGAAAGATGGCCTAGTGGTCGTCTTATGGAGGTGCACCTTCCGGTATTTTTCTTTTATTTTTTCGGGCACTTTTGAAAATCAGAGTTACTTTTAACGGTTTTTTCAGACGTTTTTAACGACGTGACCCTCTTGTGATAACGAAATTCAAACATATGAACCACTTTGATAAAAATGAAACACATGATCCTATCTTAAAACGAGTCCAACCACAAGTACTTTTTCCTTACTTTTCCCAAAGAAAAAATAACAAAAAGAAAGTTAATTAGAAGTTTTGAAACAGATATCGCGATGCTCAATATTAGACTCGTAATACTCAACGTAATAGGTGTGATGCCCATTAGACGTTCATTAATGCCCATTCACCAGAAATCGTGATTTTCATCTAAATAACGGATGTTTGATGCTCAATTAAAATGTCGTGATGCTCAACTAACAAACCTTACGATTTTCATATCAATGTGCACTTTGTAAGTTATGTATGCTCATTTGGTAGTGATGTTATGCTCATATTTTAAATGTCATATCAATGCATATTTAAAATATCACATTACATTAGACTCGCATATTGAAATTAATAGGCGTGAATTATAGATATACTTTAATAAGTTTTTATAAAAGAAAACATAAGAAAAAGAAAAAGAATTAGAAGATATGAGACAAAGATCATGATACTCATTGTTAGTCTCCTAATACTCAATAAAATAGGTCATACCGTCAGATGCTCATTAAAAGTAAACTATTCCTCATTTAATAGAAGTCGAGATTTTTTCGCTTAAATTACAAAAATGCCACCAATGTTTTTTGGCTTGTACTCCATCCGTCTCAATTTGTTTTGCAAAGTCTACATTTTTTGGTCAACCAATAATAAAAGTCAATCCTCTTTACGGATAATTAACTCAATTTTTAATAATTAAAGTTTACATATTCATAAAGTACATTAAAATCTCTTCAAAGTTGTAAACACCAAATTAAAATATAATTAGAAATTGATATCCTAATTAAGCGAACAAAACAAAATTGTTTGATTAAAATAAAATCAAATTTGTAAATCAATTTTAAGTGGAGGAAATATCAATTATTGAGCTGTCTTTTCAGTTGGGCAGGGAGTAAATACAGCGAATGTATGACATAGGGATCGCTCTTTCTCAGTGATGCGCCTCTCTCCCTCCGCCTCTTTCTCTCGGTGTGACAATGGTCTTGCCGCCGCCCCATGTTGACTTCGTCACTACCGCTCTTACCGTCATCGACTCCATCATCTATGACATGGCTTTCGGTTTTTGAACAAATTTCAAGTTCATCACCATCCTCCCCCCCCCCCCCCCTCCGTTTGAAATCTGATTTCTTCCCCCCAAATTAGTGAAATTTCGGATTTGGAGGATTTTGATTTTTCAAATTTTGGGAAATCTGATTTTGAACTCACCATGGCGTTTATTCCCAAAAAATGCCAAATATTGTGAATAAAACTGCCAATGTTGTGTTCCATTTTTGTTCACGGTGGAGTAATTTTTATGTTGTGGATAAAATGGCATTTTTGGCATCAAGATGATATTTTGAAGTTCAGAAACTTTTGGCAGCCATGCGTCAAATGCTCTTGTTATAAAAGAAAACTCATCTACAATATACACTTATTGTTTTTCTCACCAATGAAAACCCGACCAAAGTAGGTAAACTTTTAAAGGGATCAATTTTAATCAAGAAAACCATTAAAGTCCAAATTGAAATCACATTTTACACTCACTACTCATCTTCTGTGCATGTGGCCTCAAACCATCCAAGCTAAGAGTACTTGATAATATATTTGTGATGGAACTACTTTAAAATGTCTAGACATTTCGAGTATCTTTATTGAAAAATGGAGAGTTATAAATTTAATTATACTGTCTACTTAATGAAGAATGTATTATTGGGGTTGAAGAGTTTTTGTCTTATTTTGCATATGCATGAATATTTAGCTTGTGGGAAAATAGTCGGGGATGGAAAGTGGCAAAAACTCTACATACTAGGTACGGAGTATGAATATTACATTCTCCTGAAACAAATTGATACTCGTGCATTCTCTATATGACATTATATTGTTATGTTAGATGGTTAAATTTTATGTTAGATGGTTAAATTTCACTCTATCCGTGTTTCATTCCTTGTACAGACTGAACCTTCAGCTTGTATTGCAACTAAAACCCCTTGTTTGGTGCGACTCTAGCTAACTAATGCACACCAAATAAAACCATAATGTCACCAGAGACCATATATAGTAGTTTAACAAATGGTCTTTATTGTACTCAAACGTAGTAATTCAGTAAATGAACTGTGTCGATTTTGAAGCTATGTAGTTACTGGTTGAGTTCCTATAACCTAGTATCTACCACTGTACCACATAGAATCATCATCTTAATCATATAGTTTAGCTTGTGGTTTCACCTATATTAAAGCAAATCCACATGATCATACTCAAGTGGTCAACCACGCTACTTGAATATATAGTGATAAGAAATTTAAACCAAGGACTGCTGGCTAGATCCTCTAATAGAATAACCATCCTTAGGTTGTTGAATTATAAACCATGCCTTTATACACTATTTGCCTGAAAACATCTGATGGGGAGGTATATTAATTTCTAAGCAGCAATTAACACCTAAACCCACATTCAACATCTTCAGTATTCAATGAGTTGCATTTTCCATTAATAACAAGCTAGCATTATTCAGGCTAAATGATCCAACATATAAGATAAAAGCAGAAACACACACTCACACACACAAAACATGTTTACCAAACCAGCAAATACAAACTTCATGATGAGATCGTTCACATAACACAACAATTAGTAGCATTCTCATCACTGAAATATGAATAGTAAGGATCTGGTTTATGGTAGAGAGGATGGCTGTTGGAGAAAGACGAAGCTTCCAGAGGAGGCACATCATAAACATGGGGAGGTGTGGCCACTTCTTGGTTATGCCACCCAATGCCATACACTCCTTGGAAGTGTCCACTGCCTTTGCCTTCTTCCCCTTTAGGACCCATATCTCCTGCTTTAGGCAGGTGAGGGTTCCCTGCAGAATCTCCCAGACGCTTTGCACAACCGTCACTAGATGGTGGTAGGGCTGGTGGGGGAGGAGGAACGCAGGCCATAGGGATATTTCTCATTTGAGCCCTTTTGCCCATCGGAATTCGCCCCTGAGCTGTACTTGCTACTGGAACCGAACCGCCACCGCCCGAAGCTCCAATGGTGATACCGCTAGCATGCTGTGATCCATTCCCAATCAGAGTCTGACCCGCAGCGCCACAATCAGTGGCGGGCACAAAACGTTTTCGAAGTGGGGGCACGGATGGACAGGGGATGGGTTTGGTCCTTCCACAATCCCCAGGCAAGTCGAGTTTGAGAGACTCTTGGGCTGGGTTTGGGTTGGGAGGACCTACACCAGAAGAAGTGCATTGGGGTGCCTTCATCACCCACTCTGGAAATTTCTGAAGCAATGGGAGATCTTCACCTTTGGGTGGCAGTGGCTGCGGTAGTAGCAGCTGCCGTACCTTTTTCATTTGCTTCTCTATCTCACTGCTAACGCCGCCGCTGCTGCCCGCAGCACCATGATCTGTGGCAGGCTTAGAACTTTTTCGAAGTGTGGGCACGGAAGGACAGGGGAAAGGTATAGTAGAAGTGGATTGGGGAGCCTTCATCACCTGCTGTGGAGATTTCTGAAGCGGTGGCAGATCTCCAGCTTTGGGTAGTTGCGGTGGAGGCTGCGGTTGGAGTTGCTGTACCATTTGCTTTTGCTTCCCCACCGTACTGCTAACACCACTGGCATCATCTTTGTAACTGGCAAGAGAACCTGCTGCAGCTGCTAGTTGGGCTTTCTTGCCACGCTTTCCTAATTTTGCAATCACCACTGCAGGATCCACATCCCCACCTATGGTAACACTGTTTGATCCTTCTTCCATTGTAACAGTGTACACACCTGCAGGGAACACAAACAATTGCAGTATTGAATCAAAGATGAGATGAGAAAACTCTTCAAAATAGAAATCTTCACTTTGATTTGGTAAAAATTGGATTTTTTTTGCAAGAAAGTAATACTGGTACATATATTTGGTGTGTGTGAATGAGCATAGTAGCATACCATCAATTTTTTTCAGTATCTTCATTACTTTATCTCTGCAGCCGTTACAGTACATGCCAACTATGATCACGAAAATCTGCACGCCAAATTGGCAATTAGCAATAAGTAAGCATAGATAAGGTTTTGTATGATCATGAAAATGTATGTATCATTGGAATTGATAATCAAAAGTTGGAGGAGATTCGATGAAACACCAAACAAAATGAATTCCAAACAAAATGAACTCCAAACATATTCATTAGCCTTCTTTTCTTTATCCAGCAGGGAGTCATTACCTTTATCTTCAAAATCTCCTCCATAGTCATTTCTTCAGCTGAAACTGTATTAAAAGAAATTAGAATATAAACAATAATCAACATAAAGAGATAGAATCATTTTGGGCAGGACAATTTAGATCATAACTTTTTAGTAGAGACACATGAAAATCACTAAAAAGGCACTGAATTGCACACATACACACTCAAATGCTACGGAATTGAAGCTTTGGTATGCCTTTTCTCCTTAACAGTTTGCCTAAGTGAAATGCTTAAAGGTTAGAGACTTAGAACTCCATATATATAGAAGTAGAAGCTTCAGTTTTATGCACTTGACAGAGGGAGATTGGGCGAGAATTTTATCGAAACTAGTTAGTGTACTGAGAAGTAAGAAGAGACTGTGCATGCAATCTGAGACGTCTCAGTGGGAAAACGGAGAGGTTTATATACTGAGCTGCATTTTTTTTTATCTTATTCTCTCTTATTATGGAGCTGTTTGGAAAATGGCTTATATGAAAAACAAAGCAGTTTACCCTTTTAACATTTTCAATAATTGAATTCGTTGTTTTTGGACGGAACCACTCCAAAGGAAATGTCGCAAACATGAGTGTTTTGAGATAGAGTTTTGAAATATGACGCATGCTACAATTTTTTTGGCAAAACAAATACATTGGCAACTTCGTTAGTGAAATCCAAAACAACCCGTTCACATAATCTGTTATCCGCTAAATACTAAACACGCCATATATTTGTAATATTACATAGCTCTTCTTTAAAAAAATGCATTGGGTAGTTACTTTACACTTGCAACCACACTTGCGTAGTTACAGTGTTTTTTTTTTGCAAAACAAGAAAGTACTGAACGCTTATGGCAACCCGCCAACATACTCTCCTAGTGAAACCTGTTGATTGAATATGCTATTCACAACTCGCTGTCATAATCCGCTATCCTCTAAATGCCAAACACGCCTAATCTATAAAGTACGAGTAAAATTACATACTCACTCTGTCAATTCAATTTTTCTCTGCAATCCCATACCGTCAATATATTCACCTAACATATTTTTTTTAATTAAATCATTACTTTTATATATGCTTTATGGATCTCATACGAAAGATCATAAAAAATATAAAATTTAATACGATTCTTATAAAAATTGAAATACAAATAAAAAAAAGTTATGTCACTTTTAAAAAATATTCATTTTTATCATTAGCTCTACCACCTACTTTTTTCCTATCTGACCACATTTGCCCTAGGATAGGGTGTCATTTTTTTTCTTCGGGGCTCGCTAGCTAAGTTAGGTCAGGACTTCTCTATGGCCCAGTCACCACCAATAAGGCCAATAACATGCGTTGACTATTTTTCATTGGACGAAGGAGTTCGATCAATTATATTATATTCTTCTTCCAAACGCGCCCTACGTATACGCATTAATGATCAGTAATTAATTTCAGATCCTATTGAAGGTATGATAATGTTGTACTCAATAAATTTTGTCATTAGTAAGACACATGCAGTCAAACTAATTTGAAGACAGAATTGCTTGTTCGCGAGAGTTTGCTAAAACTATACGTAGTATTTACCATCCTCAATGTATGCTTAATTATCTTCTTAGTAATTGTATTCCCTCAAAAGTACATTGTTGTATCACTAAGGCCAGAACAAACAGAGTACGGAGTAGTATTTATCTAAAAGTAGAATCATATGTTTGTTTCTACTTAACTAAGACTAAACATTATATTTATATCTTAATTTAATTAATATAATTAATTGCGCACTAGTTCCACATAAACGATGTCAATCTTAAAAGATTATAAATGAAAACGTTGTTTGATGAATAATTGTTCGCCCTTAGTATTTTTTGGACGAAACCGCCGCAATGGAAATGCTGCAAATATGAGTGTTTTGAGTTAGGGTTTTTAAAAATGGCGCTTTCTACTTATATATTTTTTTTGGCAACTAAAAGACAGAACATCTTCTGGCAACCCGCCAACTTCCTCCGCTAGTGAAACCCACTAGCTGAATATGCTATTGACAACCCGTTAACATAATCCGCTATCCACTAAATGCCTAACACGACTGATATATGTAATATTACTGTAATAGTGATTCTTTAAAAATAGTTACTCTGCCCAAATTAAACAATATTCACTCTAATATTATGTACAAAGTACTTTTCTCATATTTTACTATCAGCACTCTAATAATATCAAACGTTGATTTAAGTAATAGTTGAAATAAGTAAGGTAGGAGTTACTTTCCTAGCTGAATTACTACATAAGGCCATTTTAACTATTTTTTCGTCTAATTTTTTCTTTAAGCTATACATAAAATGTATTATGAATATAATTTTTCTCATTATTCAGCAGATTCAGCCAATTCAACAGTTGCATCTAGATCTTTCAAAAAAAATAGTTGCATCTAGCATCTCATGAATTTCAACAGATACGATCGGCCGATTTGACCAATTTCATTGTTACCAAATGATCTCATAGTTACAATATTTTTTTTTAATATCGAGATCTGAATTTGGTAACTAATTTTAAATACATATTTTAGTAAACAAAAACTACAATTTAATGAGCATTACGTGTTGCAAGTGTGTGGTTGCAAGTATAAAGTAACTACGAAATGCATTTTTTTTTACAGAATTACATAGTACATTAATGAACGATTAACTTTTGGATCCTCATGTATGTATGAAAATGGTTGACTTAATATATTTTGTCATTCCTTTAGTCAAATCTACTACTTGAATGACGTAGATATGATGACTACTACAAAAAGAAAACATTAATCAATACTTACTTGAAGATCCAAAACTTAATTGCATTAACTTTCAAAAATTAATCACTACGTAGCTTCTTTAAAAAAAATGCATTACTTAGTTACTTTACACTTGCAACCACACACTTGCAACATGTAATGCTCATTAAATTGTAGTTTTTGTTTACTCAAATATGTATTTAAAATTAGTTTCCTAAAATTTAGAACTTGATATTTGAACGAGTCTTGTAACTAAGAGCCTATTTGTAAACAATAAAATTAGCCAAATCGGATGATGGAAACTTCCGAAATTCTTGAAATGCTAGCTGCAGCTGCTTAATTAATTAAATCTTCTGAATTATAGGAAATATTAAATTTGAAATATATTTTATGTCTAGATTAAAGAAACAATTAAACGAATAAATAGTTAAAATAACCTTTTTTATAACCTCCTATAGTAATTGAGCTAGTAAAATAACTCCTACTTTTCTTATTTTAACTATTCGTAAATCAGCGCATGATATTACTAGATTGCTAATTAAAAAAAATCAAAAGGTACTATGTATATAATATTGGGTAGAGTAACTATTTCTTAAGAGTCACTATTACAGATATAAGCCGTGTTTGGCATTTAGAGGAATATATTAGCGAGTTGTCAATAGCATATTCAGTCAACAGGTTTTAATAGCAGAGTAAGTTGGCGGGTTGCCATAACAGTTCGGTAATTTGTTGTTTTGCAAAAAAAAAAACAATGTAGAAGCGCTATTTTTAAAAATTTTAATCCAAAACACTCATATATTTGCAGCATTCCGTTGCAGCTAAGTTAGGTCAGGACTTCTCTATGGCCAAATCTTTTTTGTTTTTTGTTTTTTGTTTTTTGTATTTAATTCTCTAGGGTGCCATCTTTTTTGTTTTTTGTTTTTAATTCGGGGCTCGCTAGCTAAGTTAGGTCAGGACTTCTCTATGGCCAAATCACCACCAATAAGGCAATAACATGTGTTGACTATTTTTCATTGGACGAAGGAGTTCGATCAATTATATTATATTCTTCTTCCAAACACGCCCTTCGTATACGCATTAATGATCAGCAATTAATTTTGGATCTTCTTGAAGGTATGATAATGTTGTACTCAATAAAATTTGTCATTAGTACGACACATGCAGTCAAACTAATTTTAAGACAGAATTGCTTGTTCACGTGCGAGAGCTGAGTTTGCCAAAACTATACGTAGTATTTACCATCCTCAATGTATACTTAATTATCTTCTTAGTAATTCTGTTCCCTCAAAAGTACATTGTTGTATCACTAAGGCTAGAACAAACGGAGTACGGAGTAGTATTTATCAAAAAGTAGAATCATATGTTTGGTTATCTAAAATCTAAAAACATTATAACTATGAATAGAGATTGGCACCCCTGATTTGTGTCAACACACTTGTGGAGTAGGATGTTGTACATTGTTGTTGAAAGGTGGAACCCTACTTTCCATATGTCTTCTTTACCCTTACGATTTAAACTTCCGTTAACTTAGCTTTAAGCCGTGACATCTGGTTCGTTTCGTTGGGGAGGCCTCTAAAAAGGGAAAAACAAACAGCCTTACAGTTTGAGCCGATCCTAACTATATCAATGCTATTAAATTCTGTTTGTCGATCGTTCTTCTTCCACGCGCTCTGCATTAGTTCAGCTCGGAAAGTAACTCCTACCTTACTTATTTTAACTATTACTTAAATCAACGTGTGATATTATAAGAGTGCTGATAGAAAAATATCAGAAAAGTACTTTGTACATAATATTAGAGTGAGTATTGTTTAATTTGAGTAGAGTAACTATTTTTAAAGAATCATTATTACAGTAATATTACATATATCGGTCGTGTTTGGCATTTAGTGGATAGCGGATATAATGTTAATGGGTTGTCAATAGCATATTCAGCTAGCGGATTTCACTAGCGGAGGAAGTTGGCTGGTTGCCAGAAGATGTTCGGTCCTTTAGTTGTTTTGCAAAAAAAAAAGTAGAAAGCGCGTTTTTAAAACCCTAACCCAAAACACTCATATTTGTAGCATTTCCATTGCAGCAGTTTTGTCCAAAAAATATTAATGGCGAACAACTATTCATCAAACAACGTTTTAGCTAGGGAACACAACTAGTAAGAAGATAATTAAGTATACATTGAGGATGGTAAATGCTACGTATAGTTTTACCAAACTCTCACGAACAAGCAATTCTGTCCTAAAATTAGTTTGACGACATGCGTCGTACTAATGATAAAATTTATTGAGTACAACATTATCATACCTTCAAGAGGATCCGAAATTAACTGTTGATCATTAATGTGTATACATAGGGCGTGTTTGGAAGAAGAATATAATATAATTGATCGAACTCCTTCGTCCAATGAAAAATAGTCAACGCATGTTATTGCCTTATTGGTGGTGACTTGGCCATAGAGAAGTCCTCACCTAACTTAGCTAGAGAGCCCTGAAAAAAAAAGACACCTTATCCTAGGGGCGGATGTGGGGAGATGGGAAAAAAGTAGGTGGTAGAACTAATGATAAAAAAATGAATATTTTTTAAAAGTGACATAACTTTTT